TTTGGATAGATCACAACACTTATTTTTACTTTCAGACATAGCAATGTGCACACTCTTCCTCAATTTGTTTGTTACTTCTCATTTTTGAACCCTGCTTGTGTGAAAAAACTGCAAATTACTTTCAAAGCCGACAAGCATCACAACAAAATAATGTCATTTCCTTGAATCCAAAATTATTCAGATTTGTAAGGGCATTTTATGGTAAAAATTTTTGAACTAAAAATTCTAAATTCACTATTAAAATGGTGTAACCTAAAATAATCCTTCAAATTAGAAAATCTTAAGCATTCTTATTCTTTTCTAACAAAATTACTAAGAGGTAGTTTGCAATTACCTGTGGTACAACCACCGCGAGGTTGAGCACACCCATTGCCAAGCCTAATAAGACACCACCAAATACCCATAAAAAAAAAAAAGAGAAAAAAGAAACAGGAGCTTAGAGAAGCATATAAGATATAAAAAGAGTAGAAAACAACCAACTTTTTTAATTAGGTATTATTTGATACCTTGACCTGCTCTGGAGTTTCTAGAGAAGATGGAAGCCAGTGCAAAGGGAATGCTATATGTCACCTGCATCAATGAACAGACAAAAAATATCGACATATTTCGAAGAACTAATTAAATATTTCTAGAATAAAATAAAATAATGTAATATCATCCAAACTAAAAAAGATAACTAAATAAGCAATGTTTTTTTTGAATGAAATTAGATAAGCAATGTTCATAAAGGTTTAGATGAGATATTATTTTCACATTAAAAATGAGTATTTGATTAGTTGGGTGAGTGACACAGATCAAAATCTGGTGGCTACCAATTTTAACTTTATTTTTGTTAATCTTATTTTTAGAGTTTGGGTAGAATTTTTATTTACTTTATTAGGATCAATTCTAAGAATTTGGATCAATAGGGATTTGTTTTAAGTTAGTTTGATTAACTATATTTTTTTAACCGGTTTTATTTTAAAATAATAAGGTCCAATCTCATTTAGGAAAATGTTCCGTATTTTAGTGGGGGATTTTATTTAAGAAAGTTAGATTATTTCCTTTAGACTCTTCTTTTGAAATAAAAAGGTAAGTACGATGGAGTTAGTTTGGGAGGAAGTTTATCTTTTAGTTCCTTTATAAAAAAGTTTATCTCTTGTATTAGTTGTGTTTATTTTTAGGTTTTAGGAAATATATTTTGTTTTCTAGTTTTAAGGGAGTGTTATCTTTTTAAGTTGGGTTGAAATTAAAGAAAATAATGAGTCACTTAGGTGGAAAGGATGAAATAGGGAGTTGTAATTATCTTTTCAGAAGTTGGATGGAAATATAGAAAGAAACGAGAGATAGATTAATTTTAGTTAGTTAAGGGAGATATATTAGGGGTTTATCTTTTGAGAATCGCGTGAGATGGGGAATTTTATGGAATAAAGAAAGTGTTTCTTGTACGGAGAGGTGACTTTGTCGATGTTGTTTCTTCTCTTGTTTATGGGCCGGCGCGTTTTGTTCTTTCTTATTGTGATTTCCTTCACAATTTTTATTTTTCTCTCTTAAACGTGGCCATTTTAGTTGGTGGTGTTTGCCGGTAAATTTTATATTGTGTCTGGTGGTATCAGAGCCGGTAAATTTTATACTACTTAAGGTGGTATCAGAGCGTATCGATTCTTATGGATCGTGATGTTCACCAATTGGCCTCATGGCTGGGCATTGAGACTCAACCCATCCAGCGAGAACGAAACCTCTGAGCACTCCATGAGATGGAGAACAAAAGTTTGAGTTGGCAAGTAGAAGAGCTGACCATGCGCTTGACAGCAAAACTAGCTTCGACACACTATAATGTTGGTAGTGAGTCGGATGCTATTTTCGAAAACTCATTCCATGCCAACGCTCTGTGTCGGGAGCCTCATGGTCTGGAAAATGAACTATTTCCTTATGGTCAATAAATTGATCTGCCTAAGTTTGATGAAGAACCAGTTGAAGGTGAAGAACAAGTAGATTTCGATCTTCAATCGGAATCATCATTGTTGGATGTCATAGGTTACCCCATCATGTTTTTGACGAAGAAGAAGATGAAAGGATTATCGATGGAGAAGTGGAGAATCTAGATGGAGAGGTAGATAATCAAGATGAATTGATCCTAGAAGATATCGAGCCTATGGAGCACTATGACAAAGAAACTGATGTATTTATGGTGTGTCCCAAGGTGACGTTTGAGCAATTTCGACACATTGATGTGGCTGTAAAATCAACATATAACAACCCTTTCCTCAAGGATTTCACAATTTCAGAATTTCAGTGCACCATCATTGTGTCTTTATCAATGCAGTAACCCATAGGTCGCATGATCGTTTTTTCAATATTCAAGGAGGTGGCGGCAAGACTAATACAAATTTTATGTAACTGCTTGAAAATTTGGTTGAGTCGGCTCGGACTCAATCAAGTTACTCGGGCTTGGGCATGGCCGAGCTCAAAATGAGGCCCCCAACTTGAAGATATTAAACATATTGAAAAAAATTATAAAAAATACCATAAATCTATTTGTAATTTTTTTTTCATACTTTCTATCATTTTGACAAAAGATTAGATAGTATTTTGATAATAAATACTTATTTTTATATTTTCCCATCTTTTTTGAGAAATTTTAAAAATATCCCCTGTCACAAACTAATTTTTCAAAATCTATTTTTTCACTACGTTCATTTTAACCACATTTGTTTTACTTAATTTTACTTTAAATATATTTTTTTATTTTTTATTTTTTTAACATTTTTTGGTTGCTATAGTACTTGACCCTACTTGGGCCGAGTTACTTGGATTCGGGCTGAGTACTCGGCTCAGGTATGGGCCGAGTATGCGGCCCAAGTAGTGGGGTCTCTACCCATACAATCTGCTGATGAGAATAGCATGGATGATTGCACATGGATGGTATGGATAACAGTATACTTTTTCACATTAGTAAAACAGCAAAGCCCCTTCCAAACTCCATATTGTTTTGTGTAAATCTTGCTGTGATCCATATAGACATAGAAACGGGTTATTACCTTCCAATCAATGGTTTGGACGGTGATGGAGCTTGAGAATGAATTATCTAATGGGAACTACTCCCCCTCCATCACCATCCAATATGTTCAGGCGACAGTGATGAAACTTATTACTATACCATTGATGTGGATCATATATTGGGCCTTTTCTTGGACTAAGAGAGGCCACTCTGATAAGTTTGGTTCAAAAGTGAACAAGTTACCATGATCCATGTGAACTTTGGAGCAGCTTGGTCATGGCGTTATCACCGTCGTACAATGGTTTGCATGGTGATGCACGTTAAGAGTCGGTCCCACATCACTTTTCATCAATTGCAGTACATAACTACTTCCTCCCATCATCACTGTTTAACTTGGTGATGCACAGAGATGGCTCTATGGTAACACAGACGGACGAGACATAGACCTAGAAAGGAAAGAGTGATTTCAGAAAGATCCCAACCGGGGTTTTATAAATTGGCAGTTCAAAATCGCCCGAGCCCCATTAAGTTCGGATAACATTTTTGGCTCTAGAACCAAGGAAATCGCCTCTGATTTCCCATTTGCTAACTTATGCTTTCAATTTCTTTACTAGGTCTATGAAACGGGTTTGGGTCTCCATTCCTATGTAACCTTGTAAAAAAATAAAAAAATTCTAGATCCGGCAATGGCCTGGGTGGCTTATCCGGTCCTAGAGAGGAACAACCTAAGTCCAGTCCACTAAATTTGGTACGAGGGCCAGGCCATGTATGACGCTCGGCATTTGTGCTGGACTAGGACTAGGCCAAGGGTCACGGCTTCGTGCTTTGGTTTTATGTTTCTTTTCATGAATTTGGAAAAAAATAAAAAAATACATACTGCTTGAAGACATCACCAAGGTTAGGCCGGGCTTGGGTCCTTCACTCGACGTGGACCTTGCCTGCCCTCTAAGTTCTAAGGCCTAGCTCGGGCAAGCCTTGGCCCGGAGTAGTCCTGCCTATTACCACCCTAAACCGATCTAGCTTTGAGAATTACCTGATTTGGACAGTTCAAATCAGAATTGGATCTTAACTAGTCAAGCCAAATTCTGATTTTTGAAACACTGAATGCAACTGTAGGCTCCTATCAACTTACCGCAAGGGGCACGCCCATCAAAGCAAACAAAGCCACAGCCAACACTGCCACGCCCGCCGTTGCCCCTCCATAAAACTCAGCCAACTTCGTCACGACTACACTGAAACCAAGACAAAAGGCCAGCACAAAATTAACCAGCCCCCATAGTCTCGTGGCCCTGAACCTTCGAGCCATGGGCTCGACCACAAGAGCCGTAGCACCCAAAACCACCGAGTTCACCATCAGACCAAGCGAGCCAACTCTCACACCAGCGTTATACTTCTCCAAATCACTTTCATTCCCATTAAGGCTCCCCCAGTAAACTTCTCTTCCCATCCAATCTGTATCAAATAACAAAAATGGGAACCAGGCCAACCAATTAAGGGAGGTCACCAGCAAAAGAACCCACATTGGCCTAGGCAAATCCCTCAATGCCCTTATTATCTCTCCTAAAAAAGCCTCCCTCTCTTCTTCTTCATCGTCATGGTGGCTGTTATGGTGCCCGTTGCGCTCTTCGGGAACAGCAGTTTCAGAAATTGAGGTCAGGCTAAGTGTGGTAAGAGTTAAGAGGAGAAGGTTCGAGAGAAGAAAGGCAGATTTGAGGTCGGCGCAGTAAGCATTGCAGGCTTGTGTTAGAGTGAAGGGGAAGAGAGAGTGAAGGTTGGGAAAGGCACCAGCCGCGAAGCCGAGAATGTTGCCGACTGCCATGAAGAAGGAATAGAAGCCGTTGGCGCTGCGCGTCTTGCTTTGGTTCTTGCCTGCACACATACACATACACATACAACAGGATTCCATTGGGTAAGTCATCTAGCCACAGAGTTGCCAAAATTTCAATTTAGTAGGTAGTCTGTACCAGAATTCGTCCTACTTAATCTTTTTCCTTTTGTACTTTGTTGAAGGCATAAAGTGTATTGGCACATCTAAGACACTTACTTGTGTCTTACACTTTAAAAATTCGTAAAACTTATCAAAATACACAAAATAGATCAACTATTTAACTTTTTTTAATTGAATTAATTATTTAACATTTAACCTATATATTTTAGTTTAATTTTCAAATATCTATCAAAATACACATGATCATGATTCATGAGTTGAAATAGTTGGAAAAAGTATAAACAGTTTAATTTCCAAATATCCATCAAAATACACATAATTGTTGCAATTGTTGGAAAAAGTATAAACCGTTAAATAATTGAAAAAGTAAGTGTATTTTGATAAATTTTCCACAGTTTCCATTGAGCTATCTTGTTTAAACCTCTAAGACCAAGAGTTAGTGACATTATTCTTTAACCTCGTATATCTACGTTAGAGAGTTTTTAACCAATCTTCAGGGAAAGACTAAAGAGAGAAAGGGGTACAGGCCATCACCATAACAAAGAGTCAAGTTAGCAGCATTTGCTAGCATGAAAAATGCATATAGCGTCTAGAACAGTATAAGAAAAATCAAACCGGAACAATTAATCAGACATGGGCTTAGAAACGGTTCAACCATCCTATCCATTAAACCGGCCAGTTCAACCGTTCTAACCGGACAAGTCCCGGGCGATCAAAAAAGTGCTAAAAAAAATAAAAGAAATTCAAAAAAATTTATTAAATATAAAAAATATATTTAAAAAATGATTAAACAAAGTACATCCATAGTTGAAAATTAATGAAAAAATTGGATTTTAAAGAATCGCTTTGTGTTTAGGGGTATTTTTGAAATTTTCTAAAAAAAGATGGAAAATGTAAAAATAAGAATTAATGGAAAAAAAAATTGATGAAAAACATTAAAAAATGTATTACAAACAAAATCTTTTATTTTTTTTAAAAAATATCTGGCCGATCACCAAAACTGGCCGAAAGCGTGGCTAGTTCCGATCTAACAGGGTGGTTACCAGTTAGATCGCTCGATTTTTCCTTCAATGGTCTAGAAACAGGGTTATTTTCGTCATCAGCCCAAGTGAAAATAGATATTGTACAAGAAAATGATGTTGTTTTACTAAGGGTAAAGGTTTCTATACTTCCACTACATCATAGAAGATCCAATTTTTATCAAGAGAGCCGCTCACCGTTTAATCTTAGATCCGACATTTTTATTTATACAAATTGTATGAATATGAAATTTGGTACTAGTCATATTCTCATTGGGGTGCACCTATAAAAAATATTAAAAATATTTTCAAAAAAATATAATGACTAAAACACTCCTTGAAACTTTCAAGGGTATTTTGGTTATTTTGTTTTATTAAAAATATTTTTAAACATTTTTTGCTAGTGCGAGTTTAATAGAAGATTGGACGTAAAAAATTTGGTGCAAAAAAAAAGTGAAAAAAATAATAATAATAATAAAATTGTATAAAGGCGTGGTATTGTGATTGATGCAATCTTAGCCCTCCATTCAGAATGGACAGTTGGATAAAGGGAAGTATAGAAGTTCAATGTTGTAGGGAAAGCATAGAAAACATGGCCTTTACTAAGCAAAGACTTTGTGGCACCACACATCTAGAACATTTGCAATTGCTATTGGTAGTCATTTGATCTAGAGGATTCATTTTCTTTAAGGCTTAGGTTTTATAAAAACAAAGTAAAGCCTCACTTTAAATCTCCGTCTGAAAAGCACTTTGGGCATCGAAAATATCCATAATGACTATAAAATTAATTTTCAACAGCGATTATGAAATTTGAATCTCAAAAACTAGTACAGATCTTGTGGATCCACAGTGAACACATATTTTTAGAGTGAAATGAACGGTTTAGATAATGTGTTATAATATACATTCTTTTTAAGGCTTGAAATCACCATTTTTTTCACATCAGCAATGGTCAAGCCCGAATTGATCCATTTGAAGCTTTTCATATTCGAGAACTGTAATTTTCATTAATTATGATGGTCAGGCTTTACTTATTGTGATACAGTCATAACCATATTAACCCATTTTTTTGATCTCAATGGTCTGGATCCAAATAGATAATTGGAATAGTTTCAGTTACATTATAATATCTGATATTATTTGATTTTTAGTTTTATATTAATAATTATGATTTGAAATTTAGGAAACGAGCCTAAAACATAGAAAAGTATATTTTTAACATGGTAAAAATGACCAAGATAACCTTCCAAGTTGTAGGGGAATTTTGTCATTTTTTAAAAAAAAACTTTTATCAGTTGATTTAGGTGTGCACATGTGAAAAGTGGATATATCCCAAATATCATATTAAAATTATATGTAAAATAAAATTAAAATTAAAATACTGTGAGCTATGTGATCATGAATAGAAGCGAAATTGTGACAGAAGTTGTACTAGAACTAAATTGACAAATATTTTTATATGTGGATGATATGATGCCGCATGTAAAAATTTGGTTTTGAAGAATGTTACTTTGAGCGTTTAGCGTGAATATGGGGTCTGCGGATGGCCATTTTCTGAGTCTCCACCCAAAAATTGGGTGGCCTTACCATCATCCATATATGGCCACTCTTACTCTGCTACAAACCAATGAAGGGATAAATGGATTTCCTCATATTTTAGAAGTTAGGTGTAGCTCCAAAATTTGCTTAGAGGTGGAGTTTTTTTGTCAAAATATAAATAATGATTTTAAAATATATTTTAATCCCTGAAATTTAAAATTTCAAAAATAATACAGATTGGCTTCCTAAGTTTGAAAACCTTAAATAAACTCGAGAATCTTGAAAATAGATGGTTTAAATAATTTGTTATCGAATGTAATATTTTTTAGGATTAGATTTTTTATTTTATTTTTTTCTCTTTATATGCACACATCTCGAAGGTTAACATGATAGTCTTAAATATTTTAAAAACAAATTATCTTTTTTTATTTTCAAAGTTATTTTTATTTTTATATTAATGATTTCCATATTAAAGATTATACATCCTTTTAACAAAATAAGGCCAAAATTGATTCTAAAATTAGATTATCAAGTGGGGGCACATTCTACATATGAGCCCTGGGCCTCGTAGAAATCGTGTCCTTACAAAAAAGAAAAAAAAAAAAAGCCAGAATAGTAAAGTGTACCTGCGAGATCGGCAAGGAGAGCTCTGCAGGGGGCCTGCAACATATTATTAGCTACATCAAGCACCCAAAACCCCAAAACAAACACCACAATAGCCCTCGGCCTCCTCATTTTCACCTCTCCTTCAATCTCATCCCCCATAAAATAACCCAAATCAGCTGAAAACCCGATTAAAACCGTGGCCACCATCACAAGCACAGCTCCGGCTGCTATGAAAGGCCTCCGCCGACCCCACCGGCTCCGGCACCGATCACTGTTGTAGCCCACAATTGGCTGAACAATCATCCCTGAAACGGGGCCGCAGAGCCAGATGAAGCTCGAAAAAGTGTGGGGTATCCCGAGTTGTTGAACGTAAGGGGTGAGGAGAGAGAGCTGGAGAGCCCAACCGAATTGGATCCCGGCAGCGATCGATGCAGCAGTGGCTAGCTTAGACAGTGGAGCAGTTGCCGATGAAGCCGTTTCTGGCCTTGACAGAGAAGCCAGCAGCCGAGCGGAGGTATCCATGACTTCAGGAGGGGTTGGCTTCTTTCACCTTCGCTTTCTCTTACATATGCATAGAAGTGAAGGTCTTTCACTCTCTTTCAATTCATATGCATAGAAGTGGAGGAATAGTTTCTCTGTGCATACGGAGAGAGAAACACTTTGTTGATGGGGGATGAGAGAGAGAGAGGCTGAACTCAGGTGCTTCGACAACTCGAGGGTCGTCGTCCTCTCTGGCCGGCCGTATTGGGATTTTTGAGTGATGAGGTTTCTACTCGTTGAGCATACTGTAAATTAATTCTCCGAGGAGTAAGAGATCTTTTGATTGTTATTTGTATGAGTTTTTTTCTAATTATTTGAGATCGGCTGCATATATTAATCTGCCATTCTGCTCCCGATATTCTTGCCCATTTTGAGCTCTCTACGTGAACTCAAGCCTCAACTCGCACCCCTTCACAAATATTTTACTGAATCTTCTTGCCCATTTTGAGCCCTCTACGTGAACTCAAGCCTCAACTCGCACCCCTTCACAAATATTTTACTGGATTTTGTAAAAGACGTGACCAACTCCCCTCAGTCTATTTATTTTTTAATAGTTTAGAGAAATAAAGACGTTAAATTTTTCCTGCACCATCACAAGTGTGTGTGGGTGTATGGAAAATAAGTGGGTTGTTTTAACTAGGGAGCCAATAAAAAAAATTTGTCAGATTTTTTTTTTACGAATTCTGAATATTCTTAAAAAATAATTAGATAATCATCAAAATAAATAATTAAATTTTAGCTCTCCGTACACTTACATTTAAGCCTTGAAGAATTAAGCAAGTCCAATGTCATGATATCATTCTGTTGGAGCAATTACGCAGACTTTTTTTCTTTTTTCTTTTTAATGAAGTCCGTCGTTAAGCTCAATGACTACAAAAAGTTAAAGAGCCGTCACGATTTGGGTTTTACCCGAGGGACTAAATAGATAGTGTGCTCCTTTGGGACTAGAAGATCATTTGAATTTTGAATTTGAGGTGAGGTTAAGCGGTTACGCTTTACGAATAAACCACACGTATACAAAGCTCGGCATTTGTTGCCTCAATTGTACTGCTTGAAGACCTTGAGTTGAAATAGCTGTAAAGAGATATTGTTAAAGGAAAATTGTTTCATGTGGGTTGGGCCGGGCTGCATGGCTACATGTCTCTCCAAAAAATGTAAAGCATCTTTTTTAAAGAGGGATGTAAGTAGTTATTCCATCTCAAAAAAAATAGAAACTAGAGGTCCAAATGTTTTTTTACTAGAGTTATTATTTTTAATTTTAAAAAATTATTTATTTATCCATATACATGATCTTTATATTAGAGATTGCATGTCCGTCTAAAAAATCATTTAAAAAATAGATTTATTAATTGGCCCGTACAAATTTGTACGTATGTGGGATTGAATGCATAGAAACTGGGTCTATGGTTAAATTTTTAACTTCTCTAGTTTTTAAAATAGCTATTGCAATGTTTTTGTCCCTGGGGAAATTCACACACGGATATGAAATCATTTCTGGAAATAAAGAATAGCTTATACTTGGACGCATCTGGAGAGATCTAAAATTTTCGAAGTTGTTTTTATCTGATACTCTTTGTTGTATTCTAAGTTATTCGAGTTGTTTGAAAGTAAGGGTAGCAAGGGGCTGGGGCTGGGTCTGGGCCTGGCAAAGGGGTCTGGCCCTTGTCTCCATTGGGCATGGCCCGGGTCTTGTTAGGGCTGAGCTGGGCCAAACAACAAACGGATAATATATAAAAGAAAAAGTACAAAAATAAACTGCCGGGCTGGGTCGGCACCGGCCCTCTTGCCACAATTGTGACCCAGGCCCAAATTTTTTAAGGCCGGGCAACTTGGCCTTGCCAGCCCTGTCTGAAAGCGCAGTTCTCTACCCACAACACTTGTTTTCGGCCGGATGTAAAATGGAAAATTTTATCATGTGGGCTTTTCTTGCAAGGAAAGAAGTCCATTTTACTGCCAGTATACAGTTTAATCCTGCGAGAGCACGCTGGACGCAGAAAACTTACTCGAAGATTGAAATGAGGTGTAAAGGTTTGGCACGAAGTGGCGCTACCTCTTTTAAAGCGGCGGAATCTGTCGAACTGTATGGGAAAGGTGGCGGACTTTGGGTGGAGAGATGTGCGGCAAATAGAAGCAAATTGTTTTCTAAATAACGCAAGGGCCCGTTTTGTCGTCTACAACAAGGACAAGACGAAACCGTGAAGGGGGCGTTTTTAAAGGAGGGCCCGGTCTCTAAGCGGCAGAGTCTGCATATGTAGAAATGCGGGCGTCTTAATAAATTAGATTGGATTTTAAGATTTAATTTATAAAAAGATTATGAATATAAATAAATAAATAAATTTTAAAAATTAAAAATAATAACTTAATAAAAAAATATTTAGACGGTTAGTTTCTGTTATTTTAAGATGGAACATCTACTTGCATCCATTTTTAAAATGGATACTTTACACTTTCTCGGTAGCAGATGTAGAAATGCGATCCAACTTGCATAAAAGAATTTTCTTTACATAAAATACTCTTCTACTTCTCAATAATGACTGCGAGCACCCCAAAACTGGGCCCATCATTGATTCTCTCTCTCATTCTAGAGTGGTCACCGTACTAGAGGTGGGTGTGAGTTTGGTCTAATCCTTGAGTTAGACATATTTTTTAGAAAAAAGAGAAAATTACATACATATCATTTATACTTTACGTTATTATAGATGAATCAAATAGTTTATGTTATTACATGTATGTCTGTTTTTATCTTTTATAATTTATTCTTTAAAAAAAAACGAGTTTAACTTTTTTCGGATGTTGAATAACTGAATTTGAGGGTTTTTCGGATGTTCAATATTAAAAAATAGGCCGAAAGTTTAACGTTAACATTTCCATTTTCGGGTGTTAAACATCCGAATTGAAAGGTATTTTGGATGTTCAACATCTGAAAATATGACTTTGAATTTTTCAAAAAGTCTTTGGAATTTCGTAGTCATTTTCGGATGATGGACATCCGAAAATATGACATTTTCGAATGTCCAACATCCAAAACCATTTCCATATGTTCAACATCCGAAACCATTTTCGAATGTTCATCCGTAAATATGACATTTTTGGATGTTTAATATTTGAAAATATGACATTTTCGGACGTCCAACATCCGAAACCATTTTCACAAGGAATACAATGTATTGACATAACCCTCCAATTCATATGTTCAACACCCAAAAATGAGAATATGAACTTTAAACTTTCGGCCTATTTTCGGATGTTGAACATCCAAAAAACCATCAGATTCAGTTGTTCAACATCGCAAAAAAAATAAAGTCATCTTTTTTAAAAAATTACCTTATAAAAAATAAAAAACACGTAATAACTATTTGGTAAATCATTAATAACGTAAAACATAACAAATATTTATGTAATTTTCTAAAAAAAAAAATATTAGTCTAGAAGTATGTGAAACATATTAGAAGCTGGCAGAAACATGTTAGAATAGATTAGAATATATTCAAATAAATTTATCTATTTTCTTTTTGGTAGTCGACCCGGTCTAAATGGACCAGTCCAAGCTGATGGAACTTGAGAATGCAGTCTGTTTCCATCACCGTCCGTTAGCTTATTGGACATTGATAGCACTTTGACCATCGATTGACTGGGATCATATCATGTCACGCTTTTATCGGACACTCAAAATAGTACTAGTTTGAGAAAAACAAAAAAAAGAAAAAAAAAAAGGGAAAAAAATTCCCTATAGAGAACTGAGCAAACCATATCTATTGCAGCGTTCGACTACTCAGGCCAGCCAACATATACTCGCCTGAGTAACTTGGGCTCACCACCTTGTCGAGCTCGAGCATTCACAAGTTGGATAGTCTCACTTAGATATCTTAAAATAAATTCAAAAAATTGTAAAAAATATAGAAATAATAAATTTATTTGTAATATTTTTTTTTTATGTTTTTTATCATTTTGGAAAAAATTATAAATTGTCATGAGTACTTAATTTTGTATTTTCCATTCTTTTTGGATTATTTTAAAATAGTCCATTATAAAAATATTATTTTCAAAATATATTTTTCCACTATTTTTTTAAACCCATCTTGATATAAGTTTACTTTAAACTATTTTTTTGTATTTTTTATTTTCTTAAAACTTTTTGGCTTGGCAATAACTCAGCCAAATCGAAACAAGTAATCGGCTCGAGTCGGTCTTCCTAACACTAATCTATACATAATATAAATGCATGGATTTGGATCTGACCCAAATATATATCACTAATCTATACATAATATAAATGCATGGATTTGGATCTGACCCAAATATGTATGGGGGATCGATAACCTAGTTTTGACCCATAGCAAAGGTTAGGGGAACCATACCCGATCCAGTATAGAAAGCTTGCCCAAGGGAAAATTTTTATACTTCCCCTACTATATAAAAGATAGGGGAAATATCTTTATAATCTTTATTTTTTGTTTTCATATCTTAATAGACTTAAAAATTCAAAATATATTTCCTAATCTATTGACTAACTTTACTTATTTTTAACTATTTTTTTAGCCCTAACAAATATAAAAAAAACGTACTCATCTTAAACCCTTTATCTCCTTACGTGATATATTCCTTCAAATTTCTTTCTCTAACATTTATCCTCTTTGTCTATCTAACGGGGGAGAGAGAGAGTGAGAGGCATGAGGGAGACAGAGAGTGGGAAAATAAATAGATAGAGTGTAACAATCTTAAACTTTTAAAAAAAAAAAAAAAAAAAAAAAACTTTTAATAAGTGATGGTCCATATGAGCATGATAGTCCTTAAGGACCATCACCATTTTCAAAGCTTTTAGTTTGAATTTGTTTGTTTGCTTCTGCCTTGCCACCGCGGCTTTAAGCGTATAAGAGGTAATATAATCGTTACACCTCGTGTATGAGGTGTAACTTAATAAAATATTATTATAAAGTGTCGTAAGAGTTTACATATGAGAGGCGAGATCTTTCTCTAGCCGAATTTTTATCGGAAGCTTTCTTTCAAAATATTTTAGGTAAGTGATATCGTCTTTCTGAAAAATAGTTTGTTTTTAATAAATAATGATATTTCCGTCCAGGATCTTAATTTTATAAGTTTAGTGTGTAAGTGACCTCATTGTCTTGAAAAATAATCCATTCTTTTTAAAAATAAAATGAAATAATTATTTCTGCTTATTATCATGAATTTTAGGCGCGATAAATTTTATGCGCACATGACCTCATTATCTTGAAAAATAATATTTTTAATAAAAACTGTGATATTTTATCTATGTTAGAAATTTTAAATGCTGTAAATTCTTAGAAAAATAAATTTATTTATTTTTCTTGTCTATTGTTAAAAAATTTTAGATACTATCAAATTATTAGAAATAAATGTGATATTTCTGCTTTTAGTAAAATTCTGAGATTTCTTTCTACTGTTTTT